GCCATCGCGCCCGGGCTCCCCCGGGAAGTGCCCATGTCATCGCCACCCCACGCACGGCAAACCTGGCTTGTACCTAGGGCAGTCTGCGCTCTAGGGGGTTTCTGAGTCCCCAGGACGCTGCTTTAGACGACCGTCCCGCGGAGGCGGGGCCCCAAGTGAGCCGAGATGCGTCTGTACCAACAGGGAACCAGACCCAGCCAGGCTGCGCCCCGGGGACACCAGGGTCGCCAGCGGCCGCTGCAGAGCTTCCCGCCGCCCTGCGCACGCCACCCCAAGGGCACCCTGCCCTCGGGGGCCGGGCCTGCTGCTGCCGGGCCTCGCAGGCAGAGCGGTCCAGCCCCTCGCTGGCTCTGGGGCTCCCACTCCCACAGCGGAGTGCTGGGGTCCACCCTGCAGGCTGCAGATAGACGTGCTGGATGTGCCAGCAGCACACAGCAGCACCCCAAAGCTGGGGTCCCCAGGGTGTTCAGGGCAGCCTCGGAGGCCCCTGCAGCACCCGAGGCTACACCTCAGCTGGGCGTCCTGGGGCCGCCCCACCCTGCTCTGCTCACCTGGTCCCCAGGCCACTGGGCCGGGGCAGGACCTGCAGGCAGGGCAGTGGTGGCAGACACGGCGCCGGAGCCCCCAGGGGCCCAGCCTGGAGGCGCCGTCAGGCAGGCGCTCAAAAAGCGAAAGGGCAAAGGAGAAGTGGCTCCGGGCAGCCCCGAGGACCGCACCCCACTGGGCAGGCAGCGCAGGAGGGCAGCCGGGAGGTCCCCATCTGCGGGCCGTGTCCCCCAGCTTCTGGGAACTCGCCGCCAGAGCCACGCCACAGAGGACCCACGGAGAATCACCCGGGGCGTCTGCTGGGCCTCGCCTGTGGAGGCCTCTGCTCCGCCGGCCGCGGCGGGCTTCTCCTGGGCGTGCTTGGGAGTCAGGTTATTTTACGCGCCCGCCTGGGCTCCCTGTTCACGCCACACGCTGGCTGCCCGGAGCGCCAGGCGCCTGCAGGGCTGCTGGGCTTCAGCAGGGCCCGACCCAGAGGCTTGTCCTTTTAAGTGAATGCTCTCTACGTGACTGAATTTCTCGAAAAGAGAGTGCAGAGTTGTCGTAACAGAAGTGGAGCCCCAGCCCCCTGGGGCTGCACCCCACTGCCAGCACGCACAACCCCCCACTGCCATTCATGGAACACCCGGGGGAGGCGCTCAGAGTCCTGCCCCCACCCCAACATCTCAGGG